ACCACGTGTAACTTTATTGGTATCGAAACGAGTTAAAAGGTTTTGCCAAACCAAACAATATTTGTCAGGTTATAATACTATGACGTATGAATATTATGTGGAAATTAAAGTTGTACAGAACAACTAGAGGACATAGGTACGATTATGCAAAATATTATTTTGGTTAGTCACGTTCTAAAGTTCGGCTCAATTCTCAATAAACAACACGTCTAGGGAGTGGAATTGTGTCGGACACGAGTCATCAACAACCTGACACGCCCGGTTCTACCGGGCGGCCACTCGATGCCGACCGTCTGTGAGTGGGAACTCGGTAGGATCATATATCATATTATATATATTAATTACAGTAAGCCATATTCGCACCTTCCTAAGGAGGAATACATAGTACAGGGTCCTTTGTTTTTTTCTGCATTTATTAATCCCCTAGGTACCATCCTCGTAACCCTTCGATTGCTGTTAAGTCATATCTTATTTCTAAATTTTTCCTACATAACAAGGGTGTTTATCACCCGTTAACATCAAGTAAAAAGTAAGTAAGGTCATTCTCTCAGTTAACGCTTACTAATAGGGACGACTATTTCTATTATGTAAAAATTTGGACTTGACATTACAAAAACGGTTCCACCCTGTGTTAAATAAAACCATTTCAAAACTAATGACTGACCGGGGGACTGATTCAATGTTATTGTCACAGGATTTAGTTGCTGTGCACGGGTCCCCGGGTTCCCTCCGTCTGGAGTGACAGGTATGAGTAGGTTACATTGTCCTTTTGTCTAAATTTCTTTTTGATATTTATCATTATTTTTATTTTAACAGAGGGGTGACTAGACAACCAACATTCACCCACTAAAGACTACTTAAGGTTCACCGAAAAATATAAGTTTTAGTTCGATTAAAACAAGGGGCTCTTTAGGGGCGGATGTTGAATGTACCTCCGCTTCTCCTCACCTCCGTCCCCTGCTCGAGACGGAAGCAGTCCGGGTTGTCAAGTTGACCGACCTGCGTTGTGATTAATATTGTCGCCGTGGAATAAAAACTCACGGCGAAGTCGGTCAATGCACAACCCCACTCCACTCCGTGTTCTAACTTCGTAGACGGAGGAGTCTTACGCAGTGGGGTGTCTTTGGACCGACCTTTCAGCCCGTGATTCCGGCGTACGACCATGGTAGAGTGATAAGTGGTTTAACATACAAACATCTAGGGAAATCATGTAAAAATGTTATGAATGAGCGAGCTGCCTGTGGCAAGATGGCCGCCATGTGGCAACGTCAGTCTCCATTGGCCAGCAGCGCGGGTGAGTCATCTAGTGTTTATATATATCTATGCTGACGACACCCAGCTTTATCTGTAAATCCTATTAAAAACCGTTAGGCTATACACTTATGCTACGTACACACGGTTCCGTTGTTTTGCCGGTGGGCGTGTCTGGCGCTTGGGGTTACAACAACCAATCACATTAATCTCCCTCCCGCCAGCGCGTTTGATTGGCTAGTGCTTGTACTGGCATATGATTTGATTGACTGGTGCTTCCGTCGATGCTTGAAAAGTTGAACTTTTCTCAACTTTCACTGCGAGCAACGCAGGCAAAGCGAAGCAACGGAACCACAATTCAGTTCGGCTAAGCGTGACGTCACTCCATTCAAAGTGAATGGGAAGCGTCTCCGTTGAAACTTCAAACGGAACCGTGTGTAGAAGGCGTTATTAAACATGTCTTGTAGAGAATGATGGTAAAGCCCTTTCAGGTATTTCTAAACAATTTAATGCCCAATACTTTGCTCAAAGCTCCTCACATACTTTGCTGTAAACCTCTTGTAATATTTCAATTTTTCATATATGCATTATGATTAATGTATTTGTATGTCTTTGTCCTTGCTCTTCTTAATTTTTTATAGTACAATTATTTTTAGATTGAATTCCCCAATGGTCCAGATGGTTTCATACTGTAAGGCCGAAGCAGAAGAGCTAGGGTACCATGATTAGAGGTAACCCGTTTGTTAAGAGTACCAAGCGCTATTGCTTGTTTCACAATTAAAACATACCTTGGGAATTAACTGTTGCTTCATGTCCCTCTTATCAGAAACAACCAGCAAAGCCGTGCCAGACTTTTGTTGGCACAAAATACCACCATGCATTAACCATTCCAAGATTGCTCCTCTGAAGTGGTAAAACGTGATTTTACCCTTCATTTGTAGAAGGGATTTTAACACTTTTATAGTTTTACTTGATGGTAGGCCGAATAGTTACATGCCAGCCAAAGGTAATTTAAAAATTAGCCTAAGCTAATTATTTCCTTGCAGGTGATCTCCCTGGCTGTTCTTGTCCAAGCATATGTTTTTCGGCCATTGTTTTTTAGCAGTCTGTCTAACAGTTGAGGTGTACTTGTAAACCACCAGGACCCTGTGATGGGCAGAATGAGGCTATGCTGGATACCCTGTGTTGTGTCGTACTAAGACTGGAGACAGTAAAAACCTACAGCGGGGGCTCAGAGTACAAGGGTTTACTGTACTTCTCTGCATGCCACTATGATACTTGGTCACTAACTGTTGTTACTCACAGTTGCAGTATTGTGTTTTGTCATCTTGTAGCAAGAATAAGGATTGCAGCAAGACCATTGCCAGGCTAAGGTGTAAACTGCTCCATTGGGCCCATAACCCGAACCATGTTATTTCCTTTTTACAAAGGGGCACTTTGCTATGCATTCAACAAGCTACCAAACATAAAATGCAACCACCTACTGTATCACTATAAGCCTATATAAAATCATCCGGAGTGATCCCAAAACGCACAAAAAATAAGCACCGTTGAGGGTGTATCATGGATTTATGCATGAATCAAACAGCAAAAAAGTACATTGCTAAGGCAGGGAAGCATATATACGTAGTCTAAAAACCCAAGTGGCTGCAGCACAAACAGACATAATAAGGCAAAGTATCCACACGTTGTTTGGTGACAACAATGTGCACAAAGGCAACCATTCCGTTGCTATGAAACCCAATGTTTTTACTTTACTATTTGGGTTGTTATAGTCTTCAGTTACCCATCAATAGCTGCTCACCAATTGAAATAGCATTATGTGGGCCTTGTCCTCTGCTATTTCTTAAACAATTCCCTTATGGTAAAAACTTTGTCTTGATCTTTCTTCATGGATAATATGAAGAGTCCACCCAGACTTTCTTGTCCAATTGCACTACGCAAAAGTGTACCTCTTTTTTGTGCTTTTAGAAAGTGCACACAACGACCACCAGAGCCGGCCAGGGGCCCATGCAAAATCAAAATGTGTGTGTGTGTGTGTATATATATATATATATTTATTTATTTGTGGGGCCCCAATGGCATTGACCAGTTCACGCAGTCTTCAAAGTAACCAAGCAACCTACATTAATTTGTCTGTCCAATGACCTTGCTCCCTTTCATGTCATGTGATACCTTGCGTGAAGAGTGAACCGTTTAATCAACCTGTACTGTAGCAGAAGTAAGTTCGGCAGCATTAAAACAATATTTGCACCGGGGCCAATCACGACCTTGTTACGCCACTGACGACCACAGTTGTGACGGGGATCTCCGGAAATATTACAGGCTGTTGTTCCTACTGGATTATCCGTCAAGATCATTTTGGCTCATGATGGATAATGGATATGGCATGCCTACTGATTTAGTACTAAATCATGAATTAACTAAGAACTCAATAATATATTCATTCGTTGTTTCATTTCCATTGTTGTACATTTAAGTGCTCTTCCCAAGGTAATGAAATAAAAAATACCCGATCCTTGGTTTTGATATAACCCCCTGACACACTTAACTCTGTCAAGATCTGTTTCTATCATTACCCTTTTACGTCGTCTTTTAGATGGCGAGTGCCTTTACCTGGACTTTTTGTTGCTATATCCCCTCTGTTGGTCCAGGGAGGGTGTAGACTGTTGTTTGTGTCCTCGGATACACACAGCAGCTTTCACTTTCAAATGCCTTTTCCACCTTTTGCCGGAACACCCTGAGGAAAACATTCTGCAGTGTGGACTGGAATATAAGCTAGAGCAAGTCCATTAATCATTTCATATCTGAGTAGTAGCAGTCACGCTTTCCCCAACAGATCCCAGCATAGTTCTGTAACTAACCAGTGGGAGTAGCTATAGTGCTGTGACAAGGACATGATCCCTCAGCAGCTTCCCATCCTGTCAGCTTTGCCCGTTGTGATTGATGGAGGTGCCACATGCCTTTTACTTTACATGTTATACACAATTTGTGTTCTTTTGGGGTTTTTTCCTTACATTAAACTGGCGATGTCAGGAACAAACTATTTACTATAGATATGG